ATCGCTTCTCTGCTCTCACCAATCTTCAAGGAGATCGCAAACAGGTAAACATCAATTCTGGAATTTAGATTTGATTGATTATAAGCATCTGGAATTAATACTAAATTTCAATTTTTGTCTAATTTGGAATTTAAATTTGTTAATAATTAATAGGGTTTGAGTCAATTAGTTTTGGGGAACTGAATCATTGGGATAGTTTGTGAATCTTGATTTTAAATCGCTGTTTGTTTTTATGAAATTTATTTATAGGCGATTTTCGGAGTCTACGATGGTCACGGAGGAGTTAAAGCGGCTGAGTTTGCTGCTAAGAACTTAGATAATAACGTTTTAGAAAAGGTAGTTGGTAAGAGAGACGAGTGTGAGATAGCAGACGCGGTGAAACGCGGTTACATGGCCACGGATGCTGCTTTTCTCAAGGAGAAAGATGTCAAGGGCGGTTCATGCTGCGTCACGGCTATGGTCTGGAACGGGAACCTTGTGGTGGCCAATGCAGGTGACTGTCGCGCTGTCATGAGCGTAGGAGGTGTCGCGCAGGCCCTATCTTCCGATCACCGCCCGTCAAGGGACGACGAACGTAAAAGAATTGAAACCACGGTGAGAATCTCTACACAAAATAACATGATTACAGTTTTTGTTATGAATGTTGAAAGTATGGTTTCTAATAATGAGATTAATCGTTTTGCAGGGCGGATATGTCGATACATTTCACGGTGTTTGGAGAATTCAAGGATCTTTAGCTGTGTCAAGAGGAATCGGAGATGCTCATCTCAAGAAGTGGGTTATAGCCGAACCAGAGACGAAGATCCTAAGAATTGATATGGACCATGAGTTCTTGATCTTGGCATCGGACGGTCTATGGGACAAAGTGAGTAACCAAGAAGCAGTAGACATTGCTCGTCCCCTCTGCGTAGGAGCCGAGAAGTCATTGTTGTTAGCCTGTAAGAAGCTCGTCGATCTCTCGGCTTCACGAGGCTCATCGGATGATATCAGTGTGATGTTGATCCCTTTGCGTCAGTTCATCTAGTAAGAGAAAGCATCTTAGAGATTTTAGATATATAACATTAGAAATCTGGAGGCC